AGTTCTCTTCCTCCCTCCTCCCTTGTCATCGATCTCCTCCTCCATCCGCCGTTGTCCTCCCCTTCCCTCCATCATCGGTGTTGTCCTCCCTCCGCCCTTCTCCCTTCCCCCTCCTCCCTCGCTATCGATCTACTCCTCCCTCCTCCATTCCCTCCCTCATCATCGATCTCCTCCTCCCTCCGTCGTTGTCCTCCCTTCCCTCCATCATCGGCGTCGTACTCCCTCCGCCCTTCTCCCTTCCCGTTCCTCCCTCGCTATTGAACTCCTCCTCCATCCTCCATTCCCTCCCTCGTCATCGATCTCCTCCTCCCTCCTTCATTGTCCTCCCCTTCCCTCCATCATCGGYGTCRTCCTCCCTCCGCCCTTCTCCCTTCCCGCTCCTCCCTCGCTATTGAACTCCTCCTCCATCCTCCATTCCCTCCCTCGTCATCGATCTCCTCCTCCCTCCGTTGTTGTCCTCCCCTCCCTCATGCATCATCGGCGTCGTCCTCCCTCCGCCCTTCTCCCTTCCCCCTCCTCCCTCGTTATCGATCTCCTCCTCCCTCCTCCATTCCCTCTCTTGTCATCGATCTCCTCCTCCCTCCATCGCTGTCGTCCCCCTCCCTCCTTCATCATGTCGTCCTTTTTTAATTTTTTTTTCTTCATATATGAAATTTTTAACAGTGCACCACTGCTCCCCCTCCCTCCTTCATCATCGGCGTCGCCCTCCCTCCACACGTCTCCCTTCCCCCCTCCTCCCTCGCTATCGATCTCCTCCTCCCTCGTCATCGATCTCCTCCTCCCTTCGTCGTTGTCCTCCCCTTCCCTCCATCATCGGTGTCGTCCTCCCTCCGCCCTTCTCCCTTCCCCCTCCTCCGTCGCTATTGATCTCCTCCTCGCTCCTCCATTCCCTCCCTCGTCACCCATCTCCTCCTCCCTCCGTCGTTGTCCTTCCCTTCCCTCCATGCCCGAGCGCACCATGCGCGCAAATGCGTGCGGCACGCGCACGCCCCGGCGCACTGGCGCACTGCGCATCCAAGTGCCGCGCAGCGCATCGCGCATCGATGCGCGTGCATCGCGCATCAATGCGCGCATCCCCGACGGGCGCACGGTGCGCTGCGCACCGCACCGCATCGCGCAGCACATCGATGCGCTGCAAGTATGGTATACATATGTATATGTGCAAGTGTGCCGCTTTGGCAGCAGACGGGTGTGTGGACACTTGACGCTGAACCACACAAACGTGGCCAACCTTGCATTTTCTATTATATTGCCTATCTATACTTTTTCGTTGTGGATGGCTTGTGATGATCTGTGAAGGGAATAAGAGAGATACGAGGAACAAGCCCTCACAGGGGCCCTTATTGGGCAAACACATGTCCTGGGCAGAGGCCCCCAGCGAGCTGAGTGCCCACCCTAAGTGAAGGTGGGCCTGAATATTCATCAGAGGCCAAAATTCGTCATTTTCGTATACGGGTATTCAGGCTGTTGCAGCCCGCCAGTTGGTTGAGTGGACGCGCGAGCCTCAGTAAGCTGTGTCGAACAGTTGGCCCAGGCCTTGGCAGTTGCACCTGGGCACATACACACAAAGCAGGGCCGATACATTATGAAGTGGCCACCGGCCTATGCAAAAGCAATACTGTTGACGTACCTAACCCGGGGGTCCTGTGCAAATGCAGCAAACGGCCCAAGTCCGGACACTCAGGCCGTGCCCAACTGTAAGGGCCCAGGTCCTCAATTGTAGTCTCGGGCCTGGGCGCAGGGAACTGAGGCCCAACCAGAAGCTACTGGAAGCTTCCAGCCAGGCCACACGCAGCATCCAGGAGGCTGCCACTTCCATATAGGAAGTGAGGCAGCCCAGGCCAGGAGGTTGGCCTGCGCAGACAATGCGGTCATGCTGCTTCGCTGCTGCATTGGATGTTGCGTTGCAGCCAGTGCGCTTGCGGGGCGTGTTGAGGTGAAGTGGGGCGCTGCAGGGCAGCGGTGCGCTGGCAGCCATAGCCGCCGGGCTGCTGGGCGCTAGGGGGTAAGAGGGCGATCTGGTGGTCTTCAGGGAAGGAGGCGAGTGTGTGGGTTATCAAGGTCTGATGAGGGTGACGAGATACGTACCTGGTGCATGAAGAGAGATCGGCTATGGTGTTGACATCATGTACATTGGTCTTCGAGAGTCAAAGTGAGCGTGTTGCGTGAACACAGTTGTAGGTAGGATAGTCGAGTAGAGTAGGCTAGGCGCTGGGCGCCAGACAAAGATGAGCGACTTTGGATACTGTGTTGGTGTGGCCTGAGGGTTTGAACATTGGCTCAATACTTCATTGTATTCCTCTATTTGGATGGATTCTCGGTGCAATTGTGCTCTCTGCTTGTACACGACTACTTGGACATCTGTGTGATTTCCCAACTCGGTTTTCGGTGTATCGTTCACACTCATATTCCTTGCAATTTGGTATCGGAGCTGGTTTGTGATCGCCGCTTACCTGGCGCTGGCGACATTGTTACTTGGTGCGTTGACGATGCTTCATGTGCAGTATGGATACTATGGCGCTGGCTTGACAGAGCGAGGCCCAGGTAGAGGGGCCGGCCGCTAGAAGGCTGTGACGACAGCGTGGGAGCTGTGGGACAGAGTGGGAGCTGCGGCGACAACGGATGTATGTATGATGATGAGAGCACGCTGACGTGGCATTTTGGCTGAGGTGGCACTGCATCGCGTTGTGGGTGGTACCGAGGCTATGACCGGTCATCGAAATGCACATCGGCCCAATTGGTGAGAAATCTGTGGGTGGGGGCAGCTATCTCGAGGTACGTTGTTCCCATTCCTTATCTACCCTCTCAATCTCTTCTTACCGTGAGGAAGTGAGTCCAACCTTGAGTGTCCTCTCTTTGGTGAGGAGTCGTGTGCGCTCTATCTTGAGAGACAACATTCTTCCCGGTGGTGCATCTGGCAGGAGAGGGCGGTGCCTCTGGAGGGCCCTGGTCGAAGCACGGGTCACGGTCACCATGCCAACCCATGGGAGTAGTACATGCAGGCCATGCTGCTTTGTCCTTTGAGACTCTTTGCTGCGCTGATAGAAGGGGTGTGCGGACTGACCAGTCCTATGCAGATGCTCCCAAACCGTCTATAAATATTTCTGGTTGGGGTCTGAACTGTCCATTGGCTGTGATCATCATCCTGATTGCGACGTTAAATAATTCCTGAGGACTCTCGGGGCCTGTCCTTAAATTGCCTCTTGATCAGCCAGATCAGGCAGACGTAAGGCTCGTTGCACTCGAGGATAAAGAATGGGGAGGCTGGTCATAAGCATACACCTTGGGCGCAGGGGTGGGCCGTTAATGCACACCTTAGACACAGCCGCTTGATGATGCTCACAGGCACGCTGGATATAGGGGAAGGAGATACCAATTGAGGACTCAACTATCATACCCGTTGTTCATACATCTGCTCACATTAGTTTATTTTTATTTCGATTAGTTGGTTGACAGATTGCCTGACACCTAACAGATAGCCTAGAGTAGGACTGTAATATTTTACCATAGTTGGTTCTCCTCAAAAGCTTTTGTAGAGAACTAATCAGGATAGAAGTAGACTATGTGTACAGTCTGTGTAGATGTTGTTGACACCGCTTGAACAGTAGTGTAGGTAACTTGCTGGATAATTATTATTTATTTATTTTTAGCACCGGCCAGACACATGTTGAGGTAGGTTCCAGCGAGAGTCCTAGTGCAGACAGCGTCTGCCTAGCCGATGAGTGGATCAGCCGGGGGTGAAGGTACAACTGACGATAGGAAGCAGACACGGCGGGACACAGGCAGGATACTCGTAGTGGTCCAGGTCCTACTACCAGGAGACAAAAGAAGACTAAGGGCCGAAGTAAGGGCCTGTAATCTAGAGACTGCAAGGGAAGCAGCAGCGGCTGTGGAGAGAGCATTGGCAGCAGCGGCTGCGGAGAGAGCATTGGCAGCAGCAGCAGCCAGTGCAGTAGCAATGGCTACCTCTGCAGCATTGTCTGCTGCAAACTCCCTCGGCATGCCGCGGGGATGGTCCCTCTCGCAGTCCGGCTCCAGTACGCTAGGAGCTGGTGCTAGTCAGATGGCGGGCATGCAGTCCAGCTCGCCGCCTCACCTTACAAGGGAGCAGATGGAGCTCCAGCAGGTAGAGAGGATCCGCTTAAGGTTAGAGGAGGAACTTAAAAGGCTACTGACAGGGAGAAAGAGATTAGAGATAGAAGTGTCAGACTAGAGGGCAGGGAGGCGGACAAAGTTGCATTAGAAGGGTTAGATGACTCAGGCCTTGACAACACAGCGAAGGTCTTCAAGGCGAGCATCCTTCCTATCCATGCATGCATACATGGACAGCAAGTTGGACGCTATCCAGGACAACCTGAACCAGATCCTGAATGCCATGCACATGCCAGGAATCCGGCCAGCAGCTTTGCCATCGCTGTCATTCTCAGCGATGACAGGCCCCTATGCCCCTCAGTCTGGACCACCACCAAGCGGTACTTCAGCAGCATCCCTATCTCAGACTGTTGCTTCTTCATCTTCTGGTCCAGCGGTTGGTGCTACACCCTAGCCGCCACCTGTATCACAAGTGGGACAACAACAACCTTGGTATCCCAAGACCCCACTGAAACCACCCGCCACCTTCTCAGGAGATAAGGAGGCGGTTCTTGACACTTGGTTGAGAATGGTTCCAGTATGGGTCAGGGCGAAGAGGACGTTGGAAGAGGAGGAGGTGTTAACTGCTGCATCCTACTTAGAGGGTTCAACAACTCGCTGGCTTAATGGATTGGTGGCTTCCAAGGGATTCAACAAGAACATGGGTGATTGGGCCGAGACCCACACTCTAGAGAGCTTTATGTACTTGGTAGAGGCGCGGTGGCACAACCCTCAGCAGGCGCAGATAGCCACTGAAGGGTTATTGAAACTTGATGCTAGGAAGTACAAGTCGGTGTACGAACTCATCACGACCGTAGAGCGTTTAATTGTCGTCCCAGGCGTGGAGTATAATCCACAAGTCTTGCTGACCATGTTCTTGAGGTCTCTTCCCACAAACATCAATAACTTGTTAGCCAGTGAGGCTAGGTTAGAGTATCGCACTCTTGAGACCTTCAGAAAGAAGGCCTTAGATTTAGAGGCTACGCTGGGTGGTGCTCAAACCCCCCCTACGGATGGGAGAAGCCTTAGAGGACCTTCAAGGTGAGTGGTCGGCAAGGGACCCTCGTGAGTCCTGGGTGGCACCAAGTCGAGGTCCTAGAAGGGAGCATTTCGTTGTGGAAGTCGGTGTGGGCGACTGCAAGTGCGGTGCCTTCGTAGACATTGGCTCCACATGAAACTTCATAAGTCGCGACTGTGTTGAGAGGTTGCGCCTAAAGGACCGGGTGCAGCGCCGTCATGATGGTGGAGGACTACGTTAAGAATATCGTTTCTGGTGAGTGACGATTTACCTTTTGATATGGTGTTGGGCATGTACTACCTCGAGGTTGCCAAGCCCCAGTTTGACTCTGACAAGAAGGCGCTAAAGCAGGAATTGCCTAATGGGAGGACCGTTAGACTGACTAAGTACAAAGCCAGTAGGTTAATTGACTCCTACGGATGCCTATGCGCACCTGCGTTCTATACTCGTTACAAACAGAACCAAGAGGAAGGTGTGTACCTAGTTTATGTCTCTGCGAAAGGGGAGGTCGTTAGAACACCCCTGGAGATAGAGAATATCGTCGCTAAGTACCCTGATCTGTTTGAGGAGCCTACATGAGTCGTAGACAGGGAGGTCGTTCATGCCATAGAGATCATCCCAGGTAGCAAGACACCTAAAGGGAGAATCTATAGGATGGCGCCGACCGAGTTGGACGAGCTTTGGCGACAACTGAAACAACTCACATAGAAGGGTTGGATACGGCCTAGCAACTCCCCCTTTGGCTCGCCAGTATTATTTGTCCCAAAGAAAGGAGGAACACTAAGGATGTGCATTGATTATAGAGGCCTCGATGCCATCACTATTAAGAACGCAAAACCTCTACAATGCATCAATGACCTATTGGACAGGGTGCAGGGATGTAAGTACTATACTAAGATAAACTTGAAATCCGGCTACCATGTTATGATCCTGGCCAATTTTGAAATACACATCCATCAGATAATACAATGTTGTCCAATTGCGGAAAGAAATGAATGAACTTGAAAGGAGAGAGAAGATTAGAAGAAGAAGAAGAAGATGATGTACACCAGCATAGACAAATGACAAGGCTCTTCTACTTCGCCCAACAATCTCCTCCTCCTTATCTCCCCCTTCTCTTATTCATACAAGAAATAATAATACAATGTTGAATGACTGAACCAGAATCAATGTCCGAGTCCCTCTCCTACTGCTGGTAACACATGAGGTCCACCATCGCCATGACCGCCTCCCTCAACCTTCACCCTCACAGGCCGAGGCTGTGGCGGACTACTAGGCCTTGCCCATATGCCCAAAGGACAACCCAAAGCAGCTATGGCTGCTCTAGCTCAGGCCGCCATGCCTGCCCCTGCCTCGAAGCTTCTTGGTGTGGCTCTCCTCGGTTGGGGACTCCCTGCTGCAGCGCCCACCAAGGTGATGAAGATGGCTGCCACCATAGCCAGGTAAGTACCCCTGGTGCTCCTCCCCCTTCCTTCCTTCGTCCTCCCTCGTGTCCTCCTCCTTCCTCCCCAGCAGCGCTGCTCCACCCAGCGCTCCACCAGTGTGTCGCCAAACGTGCAGACCGAAAAAGAGGTCGGACTCTCCGCCCGACCCGAAGATATAGCGGCCTGCTTTGCCTCTTGGGCGGTGACTTCCAGGTCGCTTGGCCTCCCAAGCAACCAGTACCTCCTCCTTCTTGGAGGGAAACATCATTGCAGACTATGGTATTGCCTGTACAGGCCCTAGACTCAGACTGGTACCCGCCTAGACCTAGCCTACACTACTGGGCCTCTAAAACTGCCACTTTTGTCTTCTTCTGCTCGGCCTCCGGTACCTGCACGTCTACCCCTTCCAGGTGCGGTACCGGCCTACCCGCTACTTGAGTGCTTTTCCCGCTGCAACCCCTCAATGTCACGACCATAGGTAAGTACTGGCCCCGAAGGCCCAACGAACGAGCAAGTGCCCTAACGGGCCACACACATACTCATGCCAACCAACACTCAGACAGACACGGTCACACACACACCCAAGCCAACCAACACTCAGACAGGCATGGTCACACACACACTCAAGCCAACCAGCACTTAGACAGACATGCAGTCCAGCAAGCGTGCACACACAGACTTAGTAGCAGGCGGGAAACTCAGCAAGGCATTCAGTCTATAAGCAAAACTCAGAAATCAGTTGTGTGTTTCAGTCCATGTTTGGACGGGTCATCACACTACTCCCCCCTTAAGAGCGAGGTCCCTTCGAGCGAGTAACTCATTCTGAGTCCTCAACAAACGCATCGTAGGCAAGCAAGGCAAAGAGATTCCTAGAATACTCTGTCGCAGTGAGCCTTGCAGAGATCTTAGGCGTAGCGTTAGTGGCGATTGGTCGCTCATAGGCTTTAACAACGTGCAGCGCGCTGCGTAGCAGTTCTTGCTTGGAAATCCAGTACAGATCATCAAACGGATGATACATAAAGTGAACCTGGTACTGTCTATTGCGTCCCTTTCCTACGTGCTGTTTAATTCGGTCTATCTCATGCCCGCCTTTGATCGCGCGAGGGATCATATCTTCGTGATAATTGAATGTCTTAGCATCACGGTGGAGGTACAGTTTGGATGCGTGGAACACAGGGTATGTGCACAGATGGGCTGGCACATCAACGACGTACGAAGGGCCAAAGTGATCTTCACCAATCACATCCAAAACTTCCCAGGGCCCATAATAGAGTGGGAGAAGTTTGCGTGAGACTCCCTCTTCTTCTGAAAATTCAGACATCTTGACCCAAACATAGCTTCCTACCTGAATATCTGACGGTCGGCGCTTCTTGTTCGCATGATGGATCATGGCATGCTGTCGCTTGGTCATAGCTGCAATGGCAACTTTGAGCAAGCGATCATACTTGGCCCTGAAGCCAGGTCTGTTAGGTGTTAAACCAGCTGGCTGCTCAGGGAATAGCTAAGAGAGCGGATTTCGGATCTGCCAACCGTAATGCAGCCTGTTGGGTGTCATGCCGATGGCGGAGTGGACGGAGTTGTTGTATAACCCCTTCACGGCAGACAACTCTTCATCCCATGTTTCCTGATCCGGAATAATCAAAGCGTGAAGAAGTTGAAACACAGTCTGGTTTATCTCCTCAGCCAAACCGTTGGCTTCGGGGTGTCAGCCAGATGTCATACACAGCTTGATCCCCAGTTGAGACGTGAAGTCCTTCCATTCAGTACTAATGAAGCGTGGATCCCGATCGCTCACGAGAGTCTTCGGGGTTCCGAACTGCAGAATGTACTTATGTTGGAACTCACGAATCACTAGTTCTGTTGGGGCGTGAGGCGGTAAAGGGATCAGGTTGAGGAACTTAGAGAATTGGTCAACAATCACCATGACCTGTGAGTAGCCGTTCTTACTTACCTTTCCCATGTCGGTGAAGTCGATGGAGACTCCCCGGGACCATTGGGAATGGGTAGGGGAGTGAGTAGCCCCATCGACTTTTGTCTGCATGGTTTGATTCATTGACAGACTTGACACTCAGCCACAAACTTTTCAGCAGTCCCTTTCATGCCAGGCCAATCAAACTGTCTCAACAAATTTGCGTACGTTTTGCCATGCCGAAGTGTCCGCTCCGGCCATGAGCCAAATCCAGAAAGTGTGTGCGGAGAGGCTCATGGTTGGGCACACACAAACGGTCGTGGTTCCCGTAGCGACGAAAAATCAGTCCTCCATACTCGTGAAAATCAGGCTGACTGCTAGTGTCAGCCCGTAGCCGCTCAAGGATGGAACTAAGCTCCGGATCCTTGGCGGTGTGCTCTACGAGCTCCTCCTTCAGTTCTTCCGGAGGTCGTAGGATTTGACAAGGCAAGTCATGTACTCTGGGTGGCGAGACAAAGCGTCAGCTACTCGGTTATAACAACCCTTTTTGTGTCTTAACTTAAAATTGAAAATGTCAATTTCATGGAACCAACGAAGCAAGGTAGGGGACAGGCTAGTTTGCAGTTTGATCCACTTCAGAGTCTCATGATCCGAGAATACTTTGAAGTGGCGTTCCAAAAGATAGTGTTTCCAGTGATCCAATGCCATACGCAAAGCATAAAGCTCGCACATGTAGGTGGAAGTGGCTACCTTTACGCTGGGCATGCGTTTGCTGTAGTACTCGAGTGGCCGCAAGCCATCGCCGCCATCTTGCTGCAACACTGCGCCGATTCCATACTGGCTTGCATCTGTAGTAACTACGAATGTCAGTTTGGGATCTGCAATGCGGAGTACCAGGTAACTTACTAAGGCTTCTTTTAAAGCTTGAAAGGCATTCGTGCACCCGGTGTCCCAAGAATAAGGAACATTTTTATTGGTCAACCGCAACAATGGACGAGCAACAACAGAGAAGCGGGGCACAAGCTTTCGATAGTATGACGCGAGACAAAGAAAGGAACGCAGTTCGCGGGGTTGAGGCCAATTGCGTATGACCTCAACCTTGGTTGCCTCAGGCTCCAGGCCTGCAGCAAACAACCGATGCCCAAGATAGATGACGCTATCCTTCCCAAACTCAGATTTCTCTAGGTTGAGATGGAGTTGCGTCTTCTTGAGGATAGTGAGCACTTCCTCAAGGTGCTTGAGGTGTTTCTCCATGGATTTGCTGAAGATCAGGATATCATCGAGGTAGACCACCACGAATCGGCCAATCTGTTCGCGGAGGACCTTGTCCATGAGGCTTCGGAAGGTGGCTGGTGCATTCGTTAGACCGAAGCACATTACGGTAAACTCATAAAGCCCATCGCGTGTTTTGAATGCAGTCTTGTGCTGGTCCGCAGGATCGACTTCATTCTGGTGGCAGCCAGACTTGTGATCGATCTTGGAGAAGACCTTGCACCCACCTGCGACATCAAGCAAGTCATCTATACGAGGCAATGGATAGGCATTTTTCTTGTGATGTGGTTCAGACCGCGATAGTCAATACACATGCGAAGTTTGCCTCCCTTCTTTGGAACAAACAAGACAGGAGCACCAAATTCAGACTCACTAGGCTTGATCCACCCTTTGTCGATCATTTCATCGATTTGTCGCCAGAGTTCCTCCAACTCGCCAGGTCCCATCTAGTATATGCAGCCCTTGGGAGGAACAACACCCTCAACCAACTCGATGGTGTGTCAGACCGATCGTGTGGAGACTCCACGTGGCTCGACTTGAACTTCTGAAAATCGATCGAGTAGGTTCTGGATGTCTAGTGGAACTGGAGGGTGTGGAGGATCAGCAAAGGGATCACCAAGATCCGGTCGCAGGTCGTGTATAGAGACGACCGAATCTGAAGTAGGGTCATTAGGACCATTAGAGGGTAGAGAAATAGAGATGTCGGGAGTAGTAGTACTAGAAGTAGTATCACTAGCTGAAGAAGTAGCGAAATTAACAGCAAAAGTAGATGGCACATGGGCAGGACGATCAAAGGTGATATACAACTGCTCGTCCTCCTTGTGCTTGCGCCATTTCTTGCAGAACTTCATAGCATTTAGAAAAGTCACTGGGGATTCGTGCTTCTCATCCAAGAGGACGGGAAACTCGTTCCCTTGAGCATCTTTGACCATGAAGAGTGACTCCTTCCACTTGGTCCACTCGCATTGGGACAGCAGCCAGCCCAAGCCAAGGACAGCGTCGAGGGGGCACTTGTCAAGGACATAGAAGTTCAATGCGTGTGTGACAGTTTTGTCCTTGTCAAAGGTAGTACGCATACCTTTGACTACATGCGTAGAAGAGACAACTTCTTGGTTGCCCACTTGGGTCCGACAAGGGTTCTGCAAGGCCACTTGCTTCATCCCCAAGCCCACCTTGTGTATCCCGTGCTGTGACATGAAGTTAGCCGTAGCACCACAGCCAACCAAAACACGGAGATAGCGGTGGTTTATGAGAAGTTTGAAGAAGATCAACTTCACGGTCCCTTGGGCACGCTGCTGTTTCATCTCAGTCCAATGCTCCAAGTGGTAGTGGAAGTCGACTGCCCCAGACTCCTCCCAAGGCTCGACATACAAAACATTACTCACCTTAGCCTTGTCTTCAGCAGATGGTTGGGCTTCAAGGGAGGACTGCTGATTTGCAACAGATCCAGTCTCCCCTGCTGTAGAGTTTGCTGAAGTTGACTCTACGCCTGGTTTTGGTTTTTGGCAATGCAAGCATACCCCCTTCTTGAGTCTACCCCGCCAGTCATTTTCGGTAATCAGGAGGTCGACCCAAGGTTTAGTAGTCGCATCCTCTGGTTTAGGTGGGATCTTGACTCCCTTGGGAAGTTACATAGTTCTTCCCTGCACTCTGATTCGGCCCCTTTGTATTGGCCGTCTTTTTGAAGGCAGTAAATTTTTCTTCTTTGTGATTTGCGTTAGACTCATGGGCCGAAGAACAAGCTGTATCAGGGTCCTATTCTTGGTCGTCACCAAAAGTGGGGTCCTCTGCATCGGCTTCTTCTTCAACCTCCAGCAGGTCATGCACAATGAAACGGTTGCTGCCTTTGAACCGCTTGCCGCCCATGGGCTTTTTGCTGCCTGCTGTGGTGACGAGGTCTACAACCTCAAGACTGACTATGTCCTTCATTAAGGTGAACCAGTTAGTGTAACCAATGAAGTCCCTGCCTAGGCGATTAGTAAAGTTGGTGGGAACCGCGCCTTTGACCACATCCAAGCAAGATTGAGCAGTCAATTCCAATCCGGGTGTAGCGAACATCTTGCTAAGGTAGGTCTGCAGGCTTTTCATGGAGCCTGTCCACTTGCGGCGCTTGATTTTGTCAAGCTGGATTCTGGCCCTTGCTGCGGCGTGCGGATCCAGGTATTGTGAAATGAGGAGTTCCTCAAGGGAGGCAACCGGGGTGGCCTTAAGCCATCTTGTTAGTTCAATTTTAGGAATCCCAGCTCGCGTAGCTTGGACCTCTAAGAAGCCACGCACGACCGGCTCGACATTCATTCCCATGATCACGGACTAGGTCTCAGGTTGAGTCCCCAGAACCTCGAAATCTTCCCTCATGGAGCTGATCCAGGACTCAATGTCTTCTTTGCCGTCGTACTTAGACAGTATTTGAACCGCCTCACGATCCACATAGGGACCGGCGTAGCTGGGACCAGCTCCTGCTGGTTCCAATCTTGGGGCTGCACCAGCTGCAGAATTTCCAGCCTCGTTGCTTGTCACAACAACAACGGAATCTGCACCTGTTGCAGGCCCCGAGGGGGTTGCTATCACATTCAAGGACAAAGATACAGTAAGAGAGGCAGAGGTAGTTTCAATTGCAGCTTCGGGTCCAGGGGGTAGAGGAAGAGGATTGGCCACTTGGGCTTGTCGCAACTCGGCCACCTCCTTTGTCAGTTCATGGTACTTGCGGGTCATATCAGTCAGATCATCCTGAAGTGTTCGCAATTTTGCAAAGACTTCAGCGGTCTGAGTGGTATGATCTTCAAGATTCCTGACTTGAACAAGGGCAGTGAGTATAGACTGCAACTATTCCCCACATTGCTCCTCAGGCAGTGAGGGAATAGTCTTTAGTATGACCACCTGTCTTTTTAGCAATGACTCGTTCCTCTCCTTCTCTGCCTCTTGTTCCCTTTCGGTTGCACTATCTATGAGTGCTTGTAGATACAGTTTTTCCGCATCACTGGCTGCATCTAACAAGGCCCGCCATTGCACTGAAGTTAGCTGAGCCATTTTTGGACCGTTAGTATTGACAGGTAGGTCAGAGAGTCGCCAATCAGCAAAAGAATCAATTAGACTCTCAAGAGGTTCACTCCCCTTCTCACTGGGACGAACACTCCTTTTCCCAGTCTTTGCCCACTCCAGACGGTCACTTTCCCTCTCTCCCTTCTCTCTCTCCCTCCTCTCTCTCTCGTCTTTCCGCCGACAGGTCTCCATGGGCATCAGAAATGAACTCAGAAAAACAGACTTGAAAGCTCAGAGAAGAGAAGGTAGAACTCCTAGCCGGAGCGACATTTCATTTGGACGTAGAGAGCAGCAAACGAAAGAAAAACAAACGAGTTCAAACGAGAGGTCTGATCCAGCGACCCAGTCTGATCAGACTTCATACGAGGTCCTCTCGAGTCCAGTCTGACCAGCTCCGTAACCGTACAGCAAATCAGACAACGAGTGACTAATTGCAACAATGGAGAATTGAGTGGTGTACAGGGTGCGAGTCAAGCCACGAACAGTGCTCTCAGCCAAGATCCCCTCGACAGTGGGTGTCCTAACCAAGAAGAAAGAACTCCGTAACACAGTCAGAAGACAAGGGGCCAATGCCTAACCGATTTGGGTCCAGAGGCTCTTCTTGTTTGGGCTCGGTCCCGCTGGGTCCCAGAGGTCCCACGTAGGTCGCAACCAGGTCCCAACCAAGGGGAGTTCCACATGGACTTAGTTCAGTCTCTACTGCACTGAAAAACGAATTTTCAACTTCTGGTAGAACCTACAGACTACAACCGTTCAGAGATGAAAAGACAAAGCACTGTAGAAAGACTCGACATTTAAATCAAGATACTTCATTTTCCATCCATCAGGTGAGTTGGTAGCTCACATGCATTCAATCACACCACCACGACCACAGAGGAGTAGGAAAAGAAACCCAGAGTACCCCAGCAGGACAATCAATACCATACACACATACATGGGCATCCCGTAGGTGCACGACACTTACCTGAGTGGCCTTGAGCTTCGAGATGAATAGAACTCACCCCCCTCTCATGTGGTCCTCCTGACCCCTCTAACGCTACCCCTACACTAGTGTCCTATCTCCAAGAAGGGTCTGACTCCAACACCAAAGTGCGACGCCGGATCCCCCGTCGATGCTGAAGAACAAAGTAGCAACTTGCAGTCCGTAGATGTTGAGTGGCCGCTGACCCCCAATGTGACATACTGCGTAGCCACACGGGCCCTGCATGGCCCGTCCCGGACATTCAGCCTAAAAGCCTAAAACTTAGGGCTTACAGGCCCCGGTCGTTTCAGCCCGAAAGCTGAAAAACGAGGGCCTGCAGGCCCTACTCCATTTCAGCCTATTTCTGGGTCTTTCAGACCCAGAGTTTTTCCAGCCTGAAACGGAGGGCCATTTTCAGGCCCTCATTGTTTCAACCGCCCCTAAGACTCAGGCACGGAAACAGGGTTTCAGGAACAGGCCAGAAATAGCCTGTTCCCACGACCTTGAGCAGGAGCTGCAACGACAACCCCTGCCTCCGATCGGCATTGGCAAGAGCAGCCTCCTGAACTGCTCGCCTGCAGTCAGGAGGCACCCGTGGTAGTACATAGGAGCTTCCCAGGCACTTCACGGGTAGGTAGAGTCAGTAGGCACGAGTAGTCTTCAKGATTCGGGCAGCACTCAGGAGGAGCGCTGCAGTAGTCTTCAGCGCTAGGCAGTAGTTAGCGCTAGCTGTAGTCTTCGGCGTTGGGCGCCCATAGCCATAGAGTAGTCTTCAGCGCTGGGCGCTGGTAGGTGGTAGATCGTAGAGTTGGGA